AACATGTATCCATATAGCAAGTTCTAACAAGTTATCAAACACATAAGCATATAAAATCAACAATTAAACATGTTTTTTTTTACACAAATCAACTTATATACATAATCATGAACTTTATATACAACAACTAAATCATTTTAGAGGCAATCATCTCAAATTAAGCATGCTTAGCTATAATTAACAAAGAAAAATTCACAAGGGAACAAGAATTTCATGGATTAGAAACCCCTACCTCAATTTATGCAAAAAAATCCCAAATTAATGCCCTAAATCTTGAATCTCCTAGAGTGCACCAAACACAAAATTGCTCCGATCAACTCGTAAATCACTCCGCGATCTTCGAATTGCCGCAAACGGCTTCTAAAAATACTAAGTATTGAGGAAGAAATCAAAACTTAAAGTTTTGGTGCAAAAAGAAAAAGAAAAAGAAGAGAAAATGAGAGAGAGAGAAGACCTGCGGGAGTGAGAGAAAGAAAAGAGAAGATGAGGCCAAAAATAAGCCGCTTGGTCTTTTAATGTGGTGGTGGGTCCCACCACCAAAATTTTTAATTTATTTTCTCTTTTATTTTCATCTTACACCATATATATATATATACACACACATTATATAATTCCACACCTTATATAACACATTAAATAAAATAAATATGATGCAAATAGACCCAACCAAAATCCCCGTATACAACAATTCCGATAGCGGGCCTGTAATACTCCCGGATTTTCGGATACGGGTTAGCCAAGCCCACGCCTAATTACCCGAGGATATCAAACCAATTAGCAATAAACGAACACAAAATACAATTAAGATAAGCAGGAATAAATAAAATGCTGAAAAGAAACTAAAATGATAATTCAGAAACTGAAGCCTCAGAATAAATTTTATAAATAAGAAATTCTTCTGATACATTTAACTTCTCCATTTCTAATACAATTCGGGAATTCATCTGGTGGACCCCTAATAAAACTCCAACATTAAAAACAACAACTGAAGAAAAACCATAAAGAAATTCCTACGTTGTCGGAAGAATGAGTAGCCGTCTCTATTCAGCACGAATAAGCTCTAAGACCTGGAACCGTTTGTTACCTGAAAAATAATAGTGGGTCAGACCCACGAACAAGTTCTATTCTAACTACAATCCAAACAGAGACCCAATACGCAGATACACCCTAGATGTCTCAACCATATTTATATAGTCCGTATATATATATATATATATATATATATATATATATATATATATATATATATATATATCCACACTACAGGACTCTCACTGGACTATGATGAGGGTTTCAACCTGAATAGAAGGTAACATGCAAAACGCACCTGAGTGGGCATGACTACCTAAGCCTAATAGCGTATACTTCAACCAACATAGCCAGCTATGCATCCTACTGCATATACGCTCCCTAATCAACGATCCTGAAACTCAAGCTTATATTGCGGTACCATAAATTATATATATAAATTTCATCCAAATACAACAATTTGTCGATCAACTGTTCGTCGTCCAGACACGACATATAATTAGGATTTAAATGTTTTAATTAAATCCTTATCCTTCCTAATACAGAAATATAAACAACTATCCAATATGTCGTTCAACTGTTTTAGTTGACAAGACATGAAATCATGTAGGATTTAACTGTTTTAGTTAATCCATTCCATATGTATGAATGGGTAGGAGTTAGCGTTTTGATCTAATCCTTCCCTCCATATGCCACCGTCCCATACCGGTACATATAATGTATATGATCTGTAAATGATGCAACATTTTAAGCAGTACATTAAATAAAGTCCACATAATCCATATAGTTGATAAATACAGAATTTAAACATTCATCAACTAACAATCTATAATAAAATCCATGTAATTGACGAGACAACGTTTAATAGTTCGTCAATTTAAAATCCAAAATCCAACAGTTACCCATACAGCCAATGTATATAAATATCAACCAATCCATAAATCTAACAATTGATACTAAAAATATTAAATATAAATAGCAATAGTTCTAGAATAAGTATAACAATGGATATAAGTTAACATGCTTATCTGATGCTACTCCAACAATGTCCATATAATTAACTATACATATAGAGTATGTAAGCATCAATTAATTCCTAATAAGCACAATATAAATTTCATGAGTCAACATGCTTATTTTATCCATAAATCTAACGAATAATTGATGAATCAGATAGAGTAGTTCAACAATTTAAAATATAGAACAACCTCCATTTAATTAACGGAATATAATTTAATAGTTCCCTGATTAAAAACCAACCTAGGCACCAATAAAGTCTGACAGATAAATGACCCTATTATGCATCCTATATAGATTTACCAATCATAATTCAGTCATTTAAACTGCTACATCAAATTAAGCAATTTAATTCTCCCTGTCTGTTAACAGTATACAACTTATTCTAAACTCTATACTGTTCAAGATCTCTAGCATATAGTTCAAATTATGCATCCTGGTGATTTCAATACATCGTAAATTAATGTTTAGAACCCTTTTAATATCCAAAAACAATTCTGCAATCTCAACACATCCATACAGTACCCAGAAATCCTAGAACGCACTGAAACAAGAGAGCCTGCTCTCAAAACTGGAGAGTAGGCTCACAAAACACATGGAGCCGGCTCCCAATCACCTGGAGCCGGCTCTACACAAAGGGGAGCCGGCTCCCACTTCCATGGAGCCGACTCTCTCCCCCTCTGAAAGCCCTGTCGCCCATTCCTCTTGTTCTACCATTTCGTCCCTGTCACCGGCGTGTAAAAGCACCTCTGTAAGTTTTTAGTATTGTTCGTAGGAGTTCAATTTATGCCCGAAACTATTCCAGAACAATTAAACAAAGCATGCAATAACAACCACAGTTCAGAGTAACAAAGAAAATAACAGTTTGCGTGATAACCAGTTTTGATTCAAAAACAGAAAATCCATTTAAAACACTGAATTAAAATCATACAAGTTCTATTTTAACGTTTGAATGAGTCCTGGAGATCATCTAGCATGCACATAACACGGATCAAAGAGAAGAAGCAAGAAATAGAACTTGTTTTTAGGTTTTGGTTTGAAACCTTTCAACGTCGTCTCTGAATTTTCCAACGACCATCGACCACCATCAAACCTCCTATGCTCTGGTTCAATCTCACAAGAAATCCCTTCCTTCTTCCTTGGTCCGACCTTTGATCCACGGCCATAATCCTAACCAGTTCTCTCTGTTTTCCTCACAACTCTCTGTTATGACTCTCTGCCTTCACTGTGCCGTGAATAGGGTTCTAAAACCCTAGGCAGACAAACTACAAATATTTATAGGCAAAATCTATTTTGTAACCTAAATCTATTTACCTAACGAAAACAAAGAAAATATAATATATACCAACTATATGTATACAAGTCGGCAACCTAACCCCCCACCCCCCCCCCCCCCCCCCCCCGCGGCGGCAGAAGATATCAAAAGTATAAATAAAACCCTAAAATTATTTATACATTAAATGATGACTAAAATACCACAATCAATTATTAATGATTAATTAATAATTAAATTACTCCACATATACACATATACCTATCTATCCATGTATATACATCCATAGGTATTACCATACCCATTCCATCCTTAATAAAAGTAAATACTTTAATTTAAACCATTAAGTTTTAAACATTAAATTCCATTCTTTAATACATTAATAATAATACTTTCAATTAAACACCTAAATCATCAAAATCAATTAACAAATAAATTTACACAATACTTAATTCATCTAAACATAAAACACGAAACCATCTAAACACATAGCCACGTAGCACCTACAAACAATAAAATAAATAATAAAATTTCAATTATATCATTTTTAAAACTAGAAGTATTACAGGGCCCCACACGGAACCGTCCCACACGAAGAACGAAAAAAAATTGCGAAAAGGACCAACCTTGCATTTCAAAGAGTTCTGAACCCAGTGAAATGCCCCAACAACTCACCAACACATCCAGCACACCTCACGGTATCCGATACGCGAAACGGCGAAAGACGAAAAATGCCCATGCAACGACAAAAATTTCGATAAAATGAAAAAATAGCGAAAAATGGAAACATCACAAATAAAGTGTAATTTTCCTAATTAACTTTTGGTCTGTTGAAAAGTCCATTGTTTTGGACCGAGAGCCTTCCTGAAGAGATATATATATATTAGAATGATATTTAATAGGTTAGAGTTAATAGGGAGATTGTAATAGGTTAAGTAATATTTAACAAGGTTAATTACGAAAATATCATCTTAAAACAATATTTATCTTCCAAATCCCGTCAAATCCTGGCTTTTTAGATGAGATTTGGAACGGGTTAAAAACGGCATTTGAAATCCCATCATTTTTAGATCCCATTTATAATCCGATGATACTAAACAAAGTAAATCCTGTTTCCAAATCCAAATCCCATCAAATCCAGTATAAGAAATTGGAAAATAATTATGGACTATCTCAAATTGTAAATCAAACCTGAACTATATAAAAGGTTACAAATAAACCCTTCCCATCACCGGATCATATTTTTCAACATCCAAAGAGTCACAATTTTGACTTAGAACAAAGTCATCTTGCAACTAACCAGTAGTAGTATTTTTTGATTGCTGTAAGTGGTTAATATTTGAAGTAGGCAATTATGCATACATTTTCTTGCATACTAAGACGGTTCATTGTTCACAGGTATGTAAGTAAAGCATATGTTACCCGCCTCTGAAATCCCATAAAATTCTAAAAATGATGTTTCAAATTCCATCAATTTCAGATCCCAGTTTATATAAATATGTACATAGATTCAAACAGATTTAATAGATAGAGTTTGTAAAAGTGAAAATTTGAACTCAACACACTCAGTTCGTCATTCCAATAAATTATTTTTAGAATTCAACACACTTAATTCGTTATTTCAACACATTATTTATAGAATTGTATACACTTAATTCAACACGGATTTAAACTTATAAAATGTTAAAACACATGAAAAGATGTATAACATAAATACAACACAGATCCTCAATAGCAGAGTATCCAAATCCTGTAACTTTACTTGATTCTGCTTTACATCATAAAATAGCAGGGTGTACACTTCTTTACAAGTTCACTGTGAAAGCTAAAATCTGAGATATATATCACTCCTTTTATGGTTATCAATCAAGAGTCCCCACTTGCCTCTTATATGTGTACCACTTAGCTATCAAGAGAAAAGCTCCCAAATTGAGCACACTCAACACAGCCAAGAGCCAGAAGAAGTAATCTAGGTGACCATAGTTCAAATTGTCTGGTATCCAACCAACACTACCATTCCTAGTACTAACTTTCACAACAATAGTCACTAGAATTGTGTTCAAGTAGCTCCCTAGTCCACCAGTGGTGAGTGAGAGAGCAGTGCACATACTTCTCATGCCATCGGGTGCTTGCTCGTAGAAGAACTCCAACTGTCCTATGAATGTGAAAACCTCTGCACACCCGATTATGAAATATTGAGGGACCTGCCAAAATATCGACATGGGCATCTCATCACGGTCATAGTAGTTGTGTCTTCTCACAATTCCGAGTCTAATGAACTCCAGAACCCCTGCGAATATCATGGAGAAGATGATTATGATGAAGCCAATGCCCATTCGCTGGAGTTGAGTCAAGCCATTCTTGTGCCCTGTGAATCTTCTGGCAATGGGGACAATGATTCGATCGTAGAATGGCACCCAGAAGATGACACTGAGGACATCGAAAATGCCTAGTGTTGGTGGTGGGATCTTGAAGCTGGAGTTGCCAACACGAGTGTTCATTCTCTCGCCTTGCAATGTAAATAAGTTGCCCATTTGATTGTAGGCAGCAGAAAAGATGATGCCAGTGGCCCATATAGGAAGCAACCGTACAATGGCCTTCAGCTCCTCGACTTGTGTCACCGTGCAAAGTCTCCATGGATTTGCTCCCTTTATCTGATCTGATTGTATCTCCACTGCTGCCTTGTCAAAGAAACTGCATTTAACAACACTGAGTTAGAGACCGAGAGTTGATCACCATGATAGGTAGCTTAGGCATAGACAAATGCTATACACAAATGGAAAAGGGGGAAAATAAATTGAACACTTCACTTGGTGAGCAGTGTAGAAATTTTCAAATATGGTCGTTGCTTCTGGAATCAAAACAATGATATTATCATTAATTTTTGCAATGAGTTTGATTTATTTAAGTTTCTAATTTCAATTCTCTATATTATCCATGAAATAATGTATGCAAGTAAAAAAATATTAATTGATTCATGCAGCTATGGAACACAAGAGATCACTACATGTTCTCATGACACAGAATGATTCGTTATTCAGTAAATGAAATTGGATTGTTCAATAGATTTAGATAGAATGAAACATAATCTAAACATATGAACCATTTTCCATCTACTTGCATTTTGAGTATAAACAACTAGCTAGCCAAATTTATTGATTTAAGTACTAACCTAAGATCTTTGGTATGATCAAGCTTGCGACTTCCTTTGATTGGAGAGTGCTCTGCATCTGCAGTCTCGTATAAAAGAGAGTTGTCCAGAGGCACTTCAACTCGATATTTCCTCACAGATGCCACCACCACTTGACAGATTCGCGTCAAAGGGCTGCCTCCAGGTTTCTGGTACCGATACAACCTAGTACCCGAAAAGAAACTCACAACTGCAATTGCCATGGTCGCGGCTGGAATGCCGAATCCCAATCCCCAACCCACATTATCTTGTACCCAAATCAGCACTGTAGAGACAAGCGCGCCAACATTGATTGCAAAATAAAACCAGTTGAAGAAAGAACTCTTGTGTTTCTTCTCTGCCTCGTCAGCATCATCAAACTGATCTGCTCCATAGGCTGAGACACAAGGTTTAATCCCTCCAGTCCCAAGAGCTATCAGGTATAGTGCTAGGAAGCACACAGCACTCTGTGTCTCTGTTGCGTAGCAAACGTCTTTAGCATAACAGGTCGGCTTTAGGCCGGGAATTGTTGCTGACATTGTCAACAGTGTCATTCCCTACACGAATTTGTTATCTTAATTTTCAGTGTTTTCACAGCAAAAATGTACAATTCAACCAAACATGTTTTTAAACACTCAAAGAGTACACAAGACAAAATATCTTTTTGCAATGAATAAATTGGGCAGGACTTAATTCATTAGCAAATGAACTAGGCATTTGAAAATAATTGTTTTATCACTTTTCTTTCTTTCATTTTTTAACAGTTCATAGCCGTTCTACTTTGTTTTTGACACACAGACAGTCTATATCAATTTAAAAATCCATTTAGCATGAGCCTGGAGTTTTTTTTCCACACAATTGAAAGAAAGTGATGTCAATTACAACAAAAATATGTAGATTGATATCGCTATTCATAAATAGAACAACTTATATGACAAGTTGACAACCAATCCCTTTATAGGTTAATATGAAAAAGGGAATATGAATGAAATTGAAATTCTAATGACTCATGGCAAGAAAAAGACACATATTGAAACACAAAATATAGAAATATGTTATCATAAAGTCCACTTTTTTTGTTTTTTAACATTCTCTTATTATTTCTTGATGCTGTATGTTTTTCATAATAAGTCCTCATCCTCTTAATTTTCTGCAAAAAATCTTCAAAATCTTTGGGTTTTCTAAAATATGATTTACCAAACATGCACAGATTTTATACTCTAATACCATGTTAATAACCAATTATGTACTAAAAAAAAAAGTCAATTTTCAAGGAGAAGAACAAACAAACTTACAATGACATAGATAATAGAGAAGCTAGCAATTGTCCAATATCTTCCTAGATAGGCATCGGCGAGAAATGCTCCTATCAAAGGCGTGAGGTAGCATGTTCCTGACCAATTTGAGATATTCTTAGAAGCCGTAGAACTTTGCTGGTTTAGATGATGCTTGAAATAGAGAACCAGATTGGAGCTCATCCCATAGTATGCCAATCTTTCACAGCATTCATTTCCTGACAAGAAACATAAAAATCCATCAACATCTCGTATAATTAATTAAAAAATTTCAAATTCTGCTAACATAAAAAAAGTGAAAATTAAGCAAAATATATACCTAGGATATAAGGACATGCCTTCCATGTTCCTGTTTCCTTCTTTTTTGCAGGATTATTACGGTAATCTACCGTCCCATCTTTAGTGTATAAATCTAGTAATTGATCTTCTGCCATTGCTAAACCAGTCCAGTGTAATATATATGCTTGATTTAGAACCTTGCTCGCGGATTTACTCCCGAGACTACCAAGCAAGAGAAGAACTTGAATTTGTGCTACAAACTGCAGTATATAAAGAAAAGTGTTGGCACAAAATCAGCACAAAGGCAATAACTCAATAAAACATGATATATTGAATAACAAAACAATGGCAAGCACTGTACATTAAATAAGTTCTCTTTCAAGATTAATGTGCTTGTGTTGAAGAATTATGATATTGGACACTGAAGTTATAAACAATTAAATGTGTATAAATTAAGTTCATATATGTGAGCTCATCACTCCAGATGGAGAGAGAGAACTCACTGAACTCAGTATACATAGTAACAGCATGCACAATCTTACCTCTTTCGCCCGATAGCGATCCCCATATATGCAGGGAGCGTTTCTATCTCTCTCTCAATATATATATATATATAATGTGAAAATAATTGGATATGTTACAAGGGAATGGCTCTTGTTGATATATAAATGTGAGGCCATCAACAAGAGCCATTCCCTTGTAACATATCCAATTATTTTCACATTTGAAAATATCTGTCACTTCCAAAAAATAGTGTGTGTGCCCATCATTTTGTTAAATTGTACGACTTTGACACGCATAAAATGACCTTTGTTTTGTCTGTTTGTTAATTTATTTATTTGGGCAAGTAAAATGACCATTGCTTTGTTTTCTTCTTCTTCCCTTTTTATCTTTATCTTTTGATTGAGTGGAGGAGAGGAGGACGGTGAATATAGGATCAGGCACGGACCTACATCATGATTTTTTTTTTAATAATAAAATACCCTTATTAATTTGGTATTTTCAAATATATATCCATAAAATATTTTTATTGCCCGCTCAACTAAAAAAATTATTTTTTAGTCCCTATATAGGATACTGTTATTTCTTGGTTTTGGTATCACACAATTTAGGTTCAGAGTTTTTTGGTTTTTGCTATTTGGAAAATTAAGAAAAGATTGTGACATTCAAGTCTGTCGTGCTTGTCCTTGCATGTCCTATTACCTTTCAATAAAGCAGTGTTTTCTAGTAAGAAAATATATTTATACAAATCATAATAGAGATTAATGCAATAATGGTTTTAGAATATGAGTAGGGTTCGGCTGATATTGATAGAATATATAGATTAAACTAAGCGTCAATCAATGTGAACAGCTTTTGTATATTGGAAGTTATAATTACCATGAATGAGTATAATAAAATAAATAAATAACATTATGGGCAAGCTACGGCAAGTTGAATTCTCCCCCAAAAGAACAACATGGATAAATCTCTTTAAAAAATGAAAGTTTTTGTTTTTGTTTTTGTTTTTGAAAACAAAGAGATTTTTTAATTTTTTTTAAAATTTAAAAAAAAATTTAAAAATAATAAGTAAATAAAAAAACACACACACTAAGAACGTTTATCTAACATTTTCACTCTCCCCCTTCCCTCCAGTCCCACCAGAAGGAGTCAGACCACCCTACCTACGCGGCACGGATCTGAACACTTCTTGGCGTGACATTGATCAAGAATTGACTTGCTCTAATACCACTTGTAATTGGCCCCTCCGGCCTGCTCAGTGCGAACATGAACACCTCTTGAGTGGCGCTTGGCGTGAAAGTCGGTGAAACTAGATCAAAAATTGAGTCTAGCTCTAATATCACTCGTAACTAGCCTGACGTTAATCAGCCAATCAAAAATTTTAAGCTATTAGGAAATGTTGCATTACTAACTATCTAAGCCCATATAATCTGGATCCCATATAATGTTGCATACCTAACCATCTAAGCTCATATAATCTGGATCCGACTTAAGACAAAACCTCTAACAAATAGTCCAGATTACAGGTTCAGAATTCTCTGGGCCAGGCCCAATCCCAACCCATTATCACATGATCCTCCAAATCTCCAAAAATGTGGCGGGAATTAAATTATTAACCCGTTTCCTAGTCCCGCCATGTATGAAAATGAACCAACATATTCACTTTCCTCTTTCCCATCCCTTTCTTCCAAAGCCCTAACCCTAATTTTCCCGGAAAACCCAAAATTTCCTGGAAAAACCAGAGAAGAAAAATGTTGGAGCTGAGGCTTGTGCAGGGGAGTCTGCTGAAGAAGGTTATGGAATCAATCAAGGACTTGGTGAACGATGCAAACTTCGACTGTTCTTCCACGGGCTTCTCACTCCAGGCCATGGACTCGAGCCATGTGGCCCTGGTGTCGCTCCTCCTCAGATCGGAGGGCTTTGAGCACTACCGGTGCGACCGCAACATATCGATGGGCATGAACCTCAACAACATGGCCAAGATGCTCAAGTGCGCCGGTAACGACGATATCATCACCCTCAAGGCCGATGATGGCAGTGACACTGTCACTTTCATGTTTGAAAGCCCCAGTAAGCTTTAATCATTAATTTCGTTTCCCTACTAAATTTGTCTAAAAAAAAGTAAGGGTTTTAATTTATTAGTTTTTTTATAAAAAAAAACCTAGTTTTTATTTATTAGTTTGTTTGTGAATTTTTTTTTTTTTTTTCCTCTCTCTCTCTCTCTTTGATATTATTTACTCTATAATTCATGAATGATTGTTATGTGATGATCTTATGTATGTCTCTTGTTAGAAAATGATAAATTGCACCTAGAAATATGGCTAAAAGTAAAATAAGTCAATCCATAGCTTAGATGATTAGATCTGTTTTCAGAATGCCCAAGTAGAAGAAAGAAAAAAAAATGTTAAATGTATTATATATATTCTCTTTTTGTTCATTATATGTGATTTGAGAAAGTTCGAGTGGCACTCTGTTTGGAATCAAAATTGTTGAGAAATTGGAGTTTAGAAATGGTAAATGAATTGAAAGGATTTGAAATAAAATCCCATTTTTGTGTTTGGGTAAACTGGAATTGAGAGGCTAGAATAGAGTTAGAGTTGGGTAAACTGCAAATTTTACATCCCATTTTAAATTTCAATTCTTGTCAGAGCCCGTCGTTCCAAACATAGATTGCATAGAAAGGACCAAACAAATTTGTTTTTCATCTTTCTGATCCATGTTGTTGCAGGAATGTGTTTGTTCCACCAATAACTTTTTGTTGTGAGAAATATATTCCACTCAAATTATATAGAGTGTAGGATTATGCATAACAGGAGAGTTATATAGTTATATTTTCAAGTTACTTTGTTGCAAACAAAATAGAGAAGTATTATATTTTTCCTTTACTTCCATTCAAATTTTCCCAATAATCACTATTACTCATAATATTTCTGATAAGCAATTGAAGTCTAATTTTACACTTGTTTCTTTCTTGGGGGCTTAAGATTCATTTCCCTTTTTCACTCTTTTTTCATGTTTTGGATTCAGAGGTTTCTGACTCCATGTAAATGTTAGTATCAATTTCACCAATTGGACTTTATTTCGTTTGCCATTTGATGCGGGTTTGCTTCTGCTTATGGGTAATGGATTAAAGCTCAAGACAAGATTGCCGACTTTGAGATGAAATTGATGGACATCGATAGTGAGCACCTTGGAATCCCAGAAGCAGAGTACCATGCTATTGTTAGAATGCCTTCAGCTGAATATGCTAGGATCTGTAAAGATCTTAGCAGTATTGGTGACACTGGTGAAGTTTTAATCTATTCATTGTTATAATTAATGATTTATTGATATTTTCTACGTAATTTTGCATATAGTTGTAAAATTTGAGAGACTTTGGTTTGGCTTTGTAGTTGTGATCTCTGTGACCAAAGAAGGTGTGAAGTTCTCTACAAGAGGTGATATTGGGACTGCAAATGTTGTTTGCAGGCAGAATAGCACAGTAGACAAGGTATGTTTAATATAATTTTTATATTCCGTATGCTATTGTTACAAAAATCTAATTATAGATCCTTCATCAGTGGTCAAATTTTAAAATGAAATGTCGAGCGATGGAAATTCAGATATAGATATGTCGTGCGTGACTTGAATTTAATACAATAGACAGTTGACATGGATACTTTGTTTTATAATTTACAGCCAGAGGAAGCTACAATTATAGAGATGAATGAACCGGTGTCGTTAACATTTGCATTGAGATATATGAACTCCTTCACAAAGGCAACTCCATTGTCCAGTACAGTCACAATAAGCTTGTCCTCAGAGCTGCCCGTCGTGGTTGAGTATAAGATTGCTGAGATGGGTTATATCAGGTTCTATTTGGCTCCTAAGATAGAGGAGGATGGTGATGATGACAAGTCTTAAGTCAAATTGTTCCACTTTGTTTAGCTCAGCTTACAATCTTTATGTCCATTTCTCTTCAAATTAGCTTGCTTGCTGAAATTTTATAGGACATTTCTCATACATTTTCACTTTCCAGAGGCTTTCACCTCTAAAGAAAGTAGTAATCTAGATGAGCCTTTTTTTTTCTTTTTTTTTTTGCTTGTATGCCTTGACTTTGTATGAATGCTTGTTTTGTTTTAATTTTTAGTATTTGCAGAATCTTTCATAATATTGAGTTTTATGGATTTTAAAATATGAGAATTAGCAGCCTTCCTCAAGCTGCCTTGGCTGAACCTGGATATCATCATTTTGTATGCAATGAAAATGTATGAGCCTTTCTAAGATGGAGGAGTGTTCGCGTAACACCAACGGGAAAATTACCAGTTGGTTCAATTTCTGTGTTATTTTGATGTGAGACTTTTGGATAAAAGGATAATGATAGTTACTGAGGGACACTAAAGCATTGTCAGCTACAGAGATCGAAATTCAGGTGGTGGTAAAATAGTGAAGAAACCAATTCTCAGTTAGTCATCTCAGGAGGTACCTTCACTATATTCACTATATACACAATTCTTGTAAATGCAGCATAAGATTATTGCATAAATCAACTAAAAAACTACTTTTTATTACAGCATGTGATAATCTAGTGTGTGATATGGTTCGATTACACGACAGTTAAACTGTCATTCATTTTAACCACCAACTGTTGGCAGTATGAGCCTAAACATATAAATCCAAAATTTCAATACATTGAGCACAAGTTAGAACCCCTACTAGCCAAATCGTGGAAGTACAAGAAATACATTATAAAACCCTGGAAGCAAATACATCAACAAACATCACAAGCTTTGTTATGCCACGACAAAAGCTCTAGAAGTACCAGTAAAATGGCGAATTGACGACAAAAGGGCCTTCGAGGCACCAAAATGCCTTATTCTATATACACCTGGAGTTGCGGATTCTGGGATCCTCCATTCTATGGTAGCCTGACTTCGAGCACTGAGTTTAGCAGGTCTTGCCCACTTAAAGCGTAGGCAGAAATCATCATCGTCGTATGCTGGAACCCAAGAGTCCTTTCCTTGGAGAATCTCCACAAGAGCAAATGTACCCTCAGTCATGAGGTCGTTTCTGGGGCAAGCTGACCAGAAAACGACGGACACCATGTCACCCCTCTTGAAAGTGGAATTACTGGGGACATCAGTGCTGACGTCCCCAAATTTTATACCCGGAGGGGTCGTGTCCATAACAACTGGAGTTAGCAAGCTTATTTGCTTGTCAAGAAGATCTGGGGGTTGTGGGCCTGGTCCGACAGATTGGCCACTGATCAGAGCCGTTGCAAGTTTCTTGAACTCCTGAATGTAGGCACTGAGAGTGTGTGGACCAAATAGAGTGGAAGCACCCTGAGAAGTTTAAAAAAAAAGTCACCGAAGGCACTCCAACATAGCTTAATATATCTTTTTGGGTTAATTTGAGTATCATACTGCAGCAGGATTTGACCAGAACAGTGATAGCAGATCAAGGATATATGAATTGATGTCACTATAGTTCATAGCACGGTCCTCATTAATAGAAACACAGTAAACAAGTCCGAGGTTTACAGCCTTAAAATGAGAAATGTGCTTCTGATATGGAGTGTGTGAATTAAAGATTCAGGTTAAAGAAACAACACTCTGGTAGGCTACCTAAGAAGAAATATGTCTCAAACATGACTCCTCATTTTGAGAATATTATCTGACTACTGACCTCGTATCTCTGCATATCGTACTCTTCAAAGGTAGTGACGTATTGTGAATACGTGTTAGTCAACCCAGCTATTACAACATGCGTGTTGCTACTGAATTCTCCATGTCCTCCGCTCGTGAGAGCCATCTTCACAGCATCTCGGAGACGCCTCCCAGCCATTGTTGTAAATTCTGTCAGACACAAAAAGAGAGCGAAGAAACAATAAATTCACGAGTTATGAGAACCATATTAATCGTGAAATGCCCATAGCTCTACTGGAAAACCACAACACCAATCAAAAATTGGGTTCCATGTACCAAATTGGGGAATTCAGTTCCATTGCAGCAGAAAAAGCTGCCAGAGGAATGGATGGTCATGAGTTGGTTCTGGATGAAGCCAATAGATTGGCAGTGCCAAGAAACAAAACCAAAGAAAAAAACAATACGCTGAAGGTGAGTTCACTTCAAGGTAAAAATTGGTTTCTAGTAGCCATTAAAATGGTTTTTGAAAAAGAGAAATGAACAGAAAAAAATAGAACTTAGGCACGCTACCAAAGTAGAATATTTAACTCTGACAACTCTAATTGCTCTATTTTATTTCTATCGAAAAAACAGGCAACATGGAAACAGTACTCATCATAATTAAAGTATAATGTAATCTGATAACTTGAAAAAACATTTATATTCTGTTTGGTAGAAGATCAAGCTGGGAGGAAGGAGAAGGCGGGGAAGGAAAGATGAAGATAGCTTACTGCATTTGGTGTATAGAAGGGAGAACCTAAAGGAAACGTGGAAGGAGTATAGAGTAAAACCCTCTGACCCAACTAAAATTACTCCCTGGCCAACCAAAATGTATCAGTCATAAAATGAGAGCAGAACGGAAAGGAAAAAAAGGGTTATTCTTTTTCTCTTACTTTCTTTGGGTAGGTAGGCTACTCATGCACCCACTATTGCCCATAAGAGAACTTGAACCCTCACTCTTCCATTTGGAAGGAGGATGATATACCACTTGAGCTTGAGGCTCGATAACTAAAAAAATAAAAAGAACTTGCAACAAGCAACCCGTAGCAAAATTACTATTAGGATGTGTTTGTTTCATTGAGAACAACCCAATAGCAATGGTAACTAACGGTGCTAATTGGTATGGTACACATCGACCTAATTCATGTCCTGGATCAGGGTTGAAGTTGACCTAAAACCTGACCAGGAGAGTGTGTTGAGGTAAAATACCTCTATATTAAATCATAATAATTTGAATTTTGATAAAAATTAGTTGGTTAAGTTTAGTAAGCCAAAGTTTTTGTTTTGAATTTCTCCATCTCCAGTACAAGTAAAGTTCAAGCATTTTAGATGAATCCATTCTGCTATCTTAAATTAAAATTTCACTGGAATTGAAGCCAGCAAAACTTGACCTATCCACAAATCTGAGGGCTGACCTCAGCCAAGTGCAACAGAGCCCAACTTGCACCTATGGCAATAGAGACAAAGTCACTCTTCAACATTTCAGTTGAAAAGGCTGTGTTCTATAACCTATATATGAAGAGAAAGCATTTACTTCTTCATCTAATTAACTTAAAATAACATTCAACCGGGAATCAAGACATAAATATCTAAAACAGCACCATTAACCTTGAAGCAATGAGGGAAGAAGAAGAACCAGGAAAGCCACATACCTCCAGGTACACTGAGAATAACTAGCTGCCCTACCCGGAGAATTTGAATGGGGAGTATTGAAGGCTGCAAAAAATATGATACGTTAAATAAATACATCAGTAGACTTAGTGGAAATAATGAATAGACTGGTGATCGGAGGTGTCTGAACAGTCTATTTTACAGTCGCAGACGAATGAGAATAAGGTGCAAGCAGGATGGAGTCAAGAATGGTCCCCATTACACGAACGCGAATATTCTCTATTTCGTTATCAATAACACAACATAGACATGGTTTCAGATAAATAAATAAAAAAAGTCATTTGACTCAACCTCCTTTCCCAAAAACAAACACATCAGAACAACATTAAATGGCAAAGGGTTTTGACATCAGAAAAGGTTTATTATATCAGATGACTAGACTCTTCCATTCAGATCTCTCTTTTCTTTAAGAAATCCACAATAACATACCATTACATTATTTTTTTATACAAATGCCACATTTATGGGGATATTTACCATCACCATTCTTGCCTTTATCATATATGAATAGTCAAGTCACATGAATTCTCTTTTTCCATTTTTTCTATTACAATCCAATTTTCCTATTATATTCTATTTTTTCTAGTCATATTTAATTACTTCATGCCGTGTTAGTTTCAATCAGCCTCTTTTACCTTCTATACAAAACTAATTGCATCCGCGGGTTACATTGTGTATGTCCATACTTGTTTTTCTTATTTTATCAGTAAATGGCTTCACTCCTAATTTTTCAACCTTCTCTTCTAGTCACTTTGATAATTCATCTCAATATTTCTTGTATATTTTTTAACACCCAACACTTGGACTCTTTATATGATAGTTGGCTTAATGACTGTTAAGTAGAATTTTCCTTTTTAACCTATTGGATATACTGATGCACCTTATTCAAACCATTTAACTTCTCTGCAGCTTTGTGGACATATTAGAATGGAATAATCCACCAAATCCCTAAAAGAAACTCACCTTTAACTCATACCAGACTTATCTCAGAGGAGACATGAAAAAAAAAAAAAAATCATCTTTCCTGGGCCCACATGAGTTGCATAAAAACTAAAGGCATTCAAATGTATATCTCAGAGACTAGATTAAGGAATGACACCAGCAAAATTTTATTATTAATACGGTTACAAAATTGTTTGTATCCAACGGAAATATAGTTATATAGAACATTTCATCTTTTCTAAGTCCACTCAACTTCTATAAAAACCAAAGGCTTTCAAATGTAAATTTCAGGGAATGCATCAAGGAGTGGTACCGATAAAATTCTAGATCCATATAGCTCAGCACTAGCCCTCTAGAAGACTAGAATCTTTAACTAGGCATAAAAATGGTTAAATGTTTTCTCATCTAAATCTCAGTGGATGCATTTGGTAACCAATACTTGGGTTGTACTATCAAAACTGAAGTAACTGTTAAGTTATTCATCTTGAGTTCAGAAAGCACCATTGATGAACCCTTCATAATTGGAAACTCTAAAAGTAAATAAATTGTAAGCCCATTATAAGAAAAAGTCCAAGGATTGCAACTCACCGCCCAATCATACGGCTCCTTCATTTCACCAGTATCAAGCAAAATAGGCTTTGGACGTTGACAATCAATTTGCTCCTTGTTAGGTGCTTTGAGTAAGCTGCCAACCAACCTCCAAAATGCATTCCCCTGAAGAGAAATCAATAAACATTATAGCCACTTCAAGTAGACAGGCATCATGATATAGAGAGAGTAAAATTATGTTACCTGGTCGTCGCCTTGCTTAAAATCAAAAGCTCCAGGTCCATCAGTTGTACCTGCGGCAAATGCAAAACCCATTGCAGCAGGACATGTTTTACCTTTTCCTTGCACCTCAAGATTGGAGAAATTCAAATAAGTGTGACGATAGTCAATCTTCCCTTTCAACTGCTCAGACGCTTTAGTGAAAAGATCCACAGCCTTTCTGAATTGCCTTTCTCCAATGATACGAGTACTCTCAAATTCATCCGGGTAACTGCAAGAAAAGCCAGAGATAAGATTAGTTTCACAGCAATAAGGTCAGATAATCTTAGCATGGTGAATAATGCATACCCTGGTCCCCGACCATAGCACAACTCATTCTTTCCACCGCAAGTACTGTGATTAAAGTCGCATGATAGCCCAGTATCTATGCAGAATGCACCAAGCACATTTGGGCTAACGTCACCGCAGTTTGATTGACAAAATGCAGATACAAATCTAGGCTTATCAGCCAATCGGAGAGCATTCCTGACACGTCTTGCAACGCTCAAAAGCCTAGTAGCTGGTTTCCCGGAAGAAGATTGAAAAGAAGCAGCAAGCTCTAGTAACACGTGGTCTGCATTAAGTCAATGTCAAATATTTTAGTAAAGGACAAAAACTTTTTCCCTTTTCTTCTCATTATACCATAATCACATTGCTTAGATCCTTCAAATACACCTTGTACCTTCGTCAACTCAAAAATGGCATTGGTACAAGGTAGATTTGAATGCTCTGAGCAATACTATTGTTGTTTCTACAATGTGATTAAATATTTCTAAATAAGTATATTAAATTTATTTTTGAAATCATTTTAATCATATATATTGTATACAGTTAGGTCTCAGTGAGACCAATTTTTGCAACTCCAATTCCACATGAATGATGTTGGATTTTTTCCTGTCAACAGAGGTATGCTTCCGGTTTTACAAGGATCGTGGTTCGATGTTGTTTTAAAGCCATAAAAAGCACCAGCAACAGTACAATCATAGAAAATATAATTTTCATTTCTATGGCATAATATGCAGCGAATCACTTTAATAACCAAAAGTTCCAGACATTTTCTAATTCTGTTTTGATATACTGATATTGAGGAAGAGGAGCTATGACTTACAATTTTCATGAACACTCGGAATTATGGTTGAGACTCTTCGCGGGATATCATTGGCTTCAGATTTATCTGATGTGCTTTCAATACCATTATGATCAAACCAGTCTTCCATAAACCGTGCAGCAGCTCCTTTATTGTCCCCACTAATCAATGAGTTTGTACGACTCATAGAAGTTCCATGAGTTGCAAACCAGTTGAAGCTACCCACTGGACCCCATTCATCATCCACAAACTTCAGAAGGGTCATCTCCTTATCAACATCATACTTGAATTTACTGCGTTCAGCTGCAGGATTATTGAGATAAGCACTGGGACTTCGATTTATACCAGCATCTAAAAGTTCTCCTGTAAGTTGGAAGCCAAAAATCATGATAAGTAAAAGCAAATTCTAATATAGTGCAAATTTCAAAATTATAAGAGCATAGATGAAGTATAGTCCACAGCAAGATGACATGGTACCTATGTATTATAGTGCAATCAGATACGAAGTTGAGTTCTAGAAAACATTCCCTAGTGACCTTTTAAGTATCTTTCCTAAAGCAATCTATAAATCTAATAAAACTGCATGAAACCAGAAAATTAGATGTGTAACAAATTAAAGGAAAAATCAAGACCTACTGCTATGGAGATACGAAAAGCTCTGTCAGTTTAAATTCAGATACTATGGCCACATGAAGATTGGTAAGTCAAATGACCACAAGCAATTCAGCCAACTAATGCACCGGGATAAACCTCGAGTTAGGGCAGAGCATCCACTTTTTAAAATACACATTAAAAAATATATACATAAACAAATATTTATATATATATATATATATATATATATATATTGGAGGCAAGAAAAAGGCCAATATTGTTAAAATTTCCAACAACAAAAAAGAGCATAAAGGGTCATTACCCAGTGTGGTCCCCGTTAATTGACATGCTAGATAGAGACCTAACTTTTGGCATTTTTTTGACATATATGAGAAGTTCTAACAGATTATGAGACATAATTTAAATATATGGAAATTGTGTTGCTGATCAGTGGCATCTGCCATCAATTCCCAAATCATCACCCAGCAAATATTTAATGTGATCACAAGGTTTTAAAATTGAAACAGATAAGAGAATCTGGTTGTGTTTCACAATTCCAATCATAAATGATTTGATTTGTGATTTTTTTGCTAAAAAGGGAAAGACGGTAGAAACTATAAGTTTGAAGAATAAAAGAATTTTTTTCCTTTAAAGAACCCCCAGAAAAAAGTTAATCAGGTCAGGCATTTCTGACTAACTATATGAAGCACATACCCCAAAGGAAAAACCAGATTGGGAAAAACAAACTCAGTCACATTTTGACAAATGAAGCACATGGTTATGACTTTTGAGCATTTTAACACTAACTGAGGTGAGCCTAGAGTTCAAGCATCAATTATCTTTTTACTGGTCAAATTTCAATAACCGCAAGAAGTCCATATTCTAGAAAAGTAACGCCTCAGGATCTTTAATTTATGTGAGCAATAGCTAGAAAATACAGGAGCTCAAGACTTTTAAAGAGAACATCCGTTGGCATCATGTATGATAGAGGAAAGGAAGAGAAGAAGACAAAAAAAAAAGGATACCTTCGAAGTTTTAGTTGTTCACAAATTGTCTCAAACTTACTCCACTCATCAAGATAACTGAATTCAACAAACAAAAACAAAAACCAAGCAATCCTTTTTCTTCTTTATCGCCTCATTATGCATAAATGTGCAGATTTCTACATCTATTATAGACTCAGTCATTTTATCATGCATTAAACAAGTTGGGGAGAGTAAAGAGTGCCTTTGCGTTACCAGTATTCACAAAAATTGATCCCGGACGGAGATTATCATGAGCTTGTATGATACTTTGCTCAATGCCATCAACAATGGCATCAAATGATTGGCGGACAAATCCAAGAGATGTAACAATATAAACAACATATTGTAGATATCCCCCAGGACCAGCATGGGTGTGAATACCACTTATAGCAACATTCTTTTCAGTATATAGGTTCCCATATCTGCAAAAGTAATATCATCAATTATTTCAGTTGAAGTCTAGGACATATAAAACACACTATCAAAATCCAATCGTAAGCCATGAGCAAGAATATATCCAATTCATTATTCCAAACGCCCCTCGTATCAAATTGTTAGGAGTTCTTGTAAAGCATTTGCACTTTTTCCTTTTTCTTTTCTCTCCTTCCTTTTTTTTTTCTTTTTCTTTTTCTTTTTGACAATTTGTTTAACGAAAGAGTAATAAATAGTGGATCAAATACACATTAGCACAATTTATTGATATAATGATTACCTTGCCTTCAACCTCTCAAGCACTTTAATTGTCACAAGTTGTGAGGCCATGCAAGCATCAAGATTCACAAATACTACACGGTTCCCCTGCGGCTCTGCCACAATAAAGGACCGAGCTCGCAACCGGAAATGAACGCCAGAAGCTGTCTGATCTGTGTTAGCATATCCCATCATGTTGACATCAGCCGCAGGTCCTGTAATGTCATAGCTTCCAAGCCCAATTAAGTAATTGGAAGCTGTGAGTACTCCTCTATTATACAGTAGCAAGAGTAGCAGTGAAAACCAAAACCATATTATTGCATGTGGTCTCCGAGCATTAAGAGTCAAAGTAGAAAAAAACTTCATCATTGCTCCACCAAGTTGGCGCAGTTGAGCTCAATCTGTCAATATATAGTCAGCAGAAAACAAACATAAATATAAAACTTCATCAATTTCTTAAAATGAATCTTAAATGAGGCATATCAGTTGCCACTATGTATTGCAAGACATGGTTTACAAAATTGACAATTAACAATCTTCTTGTTTTACCAAAATCTATACTACTATTGTATTATATAAATGTCTAGAGGTTTTTTACTTTTTATATACATTTTTTAATGAAAATTTGAATTCATTCATTTATTCAGAAGTCAAGTTTGTCGCTGAATTCTGAAAATTCACAACTAATATTACATCAAATCTCAATACTCATCGCTTTCTCTATACATCCACAATGTTTGAAGTGCCTAAAACATAACCAAAAAAAAAAAAAAAAAACGTAAACACGCATTTCTTATAGAGGTTGGAGTCTACCTTCACTGAGACTTTCCTCTTTCATTCCTGTGTGATATAAACATGTAGATATTATCAAAGTGGATACTCTTCTCTGTTTCTTCTTCATTTTTTCGTTTTTTTTTTTTTTTTTGACGATGTCTTTTTTGTAATTTGGCAGGTCATTTAGAAAGTCGCATACAGATAAGGTGATGTCATACCTTTTCAATTAAAAACTTACTTTGATTGTATCTATTTATATTTTGGTATTTTTTTTATCATAAATTCATGCTTATGTTAATTTTTGCTATTATTGTTTAGTTGCACTGAAATTCATTATCATAAAAAGTTTATAAACTTGTAATTTTTGTACACTTATGTTACATAAGGACTTTTAAAAGTTATGGTTGAGCAATAAGCCAGGATGGTTAATTTTAGATTTGCTGCAATTAAGATTTTTTAATATGTGTATTGCATGTGCACTTTTACTGGTTTTTATAGACACAATTTTTTTTTTTTTTTTTTTTTTCAAATAGCTATGTACAAAAAGACATAACTATGCCTATTGTATGGCATGTGCGATTTTTAATAGTTTCAGTGCCTAAAATAGCTTTGAATGATCCATCAAATTTAAAAATAATAAATATAACTACAACATTTTATTTATTTTCCAGGAACTCGGACACAAAAGTATACTAAATTGTGGGATTCATGAACAAATATTTTTGTTATCATACATGAATGAACCAACCAAATTGATGAAACAAAATTTAAGGATAAATTTGAAAATTTTGATCCTTATCTTTTTGTAAACCAAATTCAATGCTTGATTTATGAAAAAATTAAATGCTTATCCAAATGAACACATTTGATAACTCCATTTAATTATTACTTAAAATAATAATTTTCACTTAAAATGGGATAAATATTACTTTCAAGTAGTTTCAACTAGCATCTCACTAGGCCGTTCAAAAAGTTATTGGTTAACAATATTTCCTCTTTGAAAAAACTCTTCCTTTCGGGCATTACCCAGTGGCCTCCTAGTTGGTAAAACGTCCAGCTCCCTGAGCCGGTCTGCCGTGTTTGAGTCCCCCTCCCCCTAGTTTGTCAGGATAAAAAATAAAAAGAAAAAGAAAAAATCCCTTCTTTTCAACTGTTGACCAGAAAAAAAGCAAATTCTGCCCACAGACAAACAAAATAAGATTTAAAAACCAATCAAATTATACACACAAACAGAACTATGAAGAAATGCCAAGACAAACAGAATGAAATATTGAAACAGATGTTGAAATTTCTTCAGACATCAAAACACAACATATATACACACAAACAGAGTCTATGTATATACACGGAGCCAAAAATAGAACCCTAGACCAAAAAATAACAAGATAATGAACAGCAATTTTGACGGAATTAAATCATGTACCTTAGTGGCACTCCATAGATATTCAATCCTATCACAGCATATGCTGATCCAATCGCCTCCGGAAGCTATATATATATAGAGAGAGAGGGGTAGATGAGTGGTATAAGAGAAGAAGGCTAACAACGCTTCTTAGTGGAGTCAAGACTCGGGAGGAAGAAAACGAATTAGTAGTAGCTGAGAAGCCAAGACTGTTCGTTTTTATAGCTCGAAGCTAATATTTTGGATCCACTCTGGCGGGTTTTGATGAGTGCATGGAATTTATCATACAGTCCTGGTGAGATTAATAGGATCCGGATCCTACCAGAAGAAAAGGGGTTTTTTTTTGTGATGTGTCTGTGGTGGGGATATATCGAGTAAGCTAGCAGCATTTATGTTCCCCAAACTGCTCCAACAGAAAGCAAACAAAGCGTTAAAACCTAGTAATTTTTTATTGTGTGTGGGACTTGAGATTTTTATCAAGCTTGCTTCCCGACATTTATGTTCCCCAAACTGCATCAAGGTAAACAAAACTAATTACTCTTACATGTGAAAGAAAAAAAAAAATATTACCTTACATGAAAATTGAAAGGAAAATTATTATTATTTTATGTTAATTAAAGTGATTTATTTGATCAATAATAAGTTTTAATTGGTTATGTATGTAAAATATAAAGAAGTAATTTTTTCAATTTCTTATATTTAATAAAGATGATTAATCAAAAGTGATAGGTGAAACAATTAACTTTGACTATTCGACTAGTGGAAGCTGAATTATGTCAGCATAATCTCTAAGAATTCAGAGACATATTTATTTATGTTGAATTTATCATTTTTTTATAATCACTATTTTATTATCTTATCATTTCAAATGATTATCATTTCACTCTCATTCACAGACAGCAAGAGGTTATAGGTTTAAATTGTTGCTCTTATTAAATTGTTCTCGATTGTGATATTTACATTATTCATGAATGAATGAAAATAAACAGAATTGAAATAAAGGTAAAGAAAGAGCTAACCTTAAACTAATGACTGCGCTGCCACAATCGGACAACTAATATCTCATATATTTTTTATTATTACTCAACCTTCCGTCTTTTACTTTAAACAGTGACAAAGGTCAAATGAACCATAAAACATGTAATGAAGCAAATTTTAATTGAGACAGTCGAATCAAATTCTAAAACAAATATTGAACTTATGCTTCATTTGTTTTGATGTTCAGCTAATATATATATATATATATATATATATATATATATATATATATATATATATATTCGAGATTGAGCGTGTAAAATAATTTATCTAAAATTAATGAATAAGTATTTTTTGGTAAGTTTTAATAAATAAAAAAACTTATTCTGTAAGTTTTAATAAAAAATTTCTTCATAAATATTTAAGACAACTGAATACAAAATAATACATACAAACAAACGGAGTCTTAATCCAAATTTAATTTAATCTAATCTAACTCTGTTTTTTTTTTTTTTTTTTTTTTTTGGTTAAAATTAATCCAACTCTGTTGATAAAACTCAAATTACTGACTCTTGGCACATCCAAATGGGCTCCCAAATGGATCGTGTTTCGGATCCAACCCAGCAGTGAATACCGAACACTTAGATGGTAAGGTTTGTGATAGCATTATTTCAATTTCAAGTCATGCCACACAATGTGCTAATATCTCATTTTTTTATAGGTTTCAATTGAATTCTTCAAGCTAATGACTGCGCTGCCGACAGCTAATATCTCATTTTTTATTATTATTATTATTATTACTCAACCCACTATATTTTACTTTAAAAAGTAAAAAAAGTAAAATGAACCATAAAACATATAATGATGCAAAATTTAATTGAGACAATCGAATCCAAATCCTAAAACAAATATTGAACTTAAGCTTCATTTGTTTCACCTTAAGGTAAAATGTATATAATTTTTTTTTTGGGTATTTAGCAAAGGTGGAGGCCGAAGTTGAGGTGAAATTCAGCGGATAGAGCGTTTAAAATAACTTGCCTAAAATTAATAAACAAGTTTTTTTTTTTTTGTTAAGTTTTAATAAAAAATTTCTTCATAAATATTTACGACAACAAAATACAAAAAAAATAGAAAAATATTTTTTTAAAAATATTTTACATACAAACAAACAGAACCTCCATCCGAATTTAAAAATATTTTACATATAAACAAACAGAACCTTCATCCGAATTTAATTTAATTTAATTTAATTTAATCTAACTCTATTAATAAAACTCAAGTTACTGATTCTTACCATATCCAAGTGGGTTCCCAAATGGATCATGTTTCGGATCCAACTAAGCAGTGAATAGTGAAATACTTAGATAGTAAGTTTTGTGATATAATTATTTCAACTTCAAGTCATGCCACGCAATGTGAATTTAGGTTTCAATTCAATTCTTCATCATTGCGTCACATGGTGGTGCTAATTGGGTAAGGGTCACAAAAGTGTGTTCCCATTCAATTTTTGTCAGCGTGGCATCATGTTTTTGATCTGGCATTTTATAGCGTACGGTGTTGTGTGGCCAAGGGCTGCTAGCTGTTCAAACTTGAGCGCAAACACAGCACCAGCATTCATCCAAACATGTCATAATAAATGGAAATAGCAATGAAACTCCAGTGGGACCCACTTGTACCACGTCACAGATAATTTGGTTGGTGGTCGATGTCAATTTTAACCCATACGGACCTTACCTCTCCTCTCCAACTATTACACGTATATATGGAAGTATGAAAATATACACACCATCATCATATTTATCTTTATCTTGAATGGGAAAGAGCAAGTGGGGGATAAGTAATTAAACTAATTTTAAAGTGGTCCTTTTGAATAAAAGAAATTAATCTTTTAAAAGAGAAAATTAATATAGCGAACTACATATCACCGTATGATTCAAGATAGAAATTACAAAAATTATTTTATGATGTTTATCTCTGCTAGTGAAGTTATTCTTATTAATTCAAATTCGTCCAATTTCGAACTCAACTCATTTAATCATTAATGTTTAAAGAAATATTCTATTATGGGCAATACTCTTCTCTAATTTCAATATTCATTTCTTTTTTGGTTTTATAATTATAGATAATGCGTGCATTTCTGATTAAAACCAAACCTCTGAGTAGACAAATATTATCTTATATAAGTCAGAAATTTTTTCTTTTCAAGATGGTATTAAATTTTAGTAACACTTTTCAAGTGAGAAATAATAATGAGTTAAAAGGTAGTATGTAAATTTATCTGTAATTAGGGTATTATTAAGTGGGTTAATTGATAGAGCGTTTAGGTCTCCGAACGGATGTGCTCGTATTGGAGTCTTTCCTACCTTAATTTAAGGGTTTTTCAAGAAATGACATGGCTCCGTTTGTTTGAACGTAAAATGTTTTTTGAAAAATGTTTTTTGTTTTTTTTGGTGTATGGTTATCGTAAAATATTTATGAAGAAAAAAATATTAAAACCAAACAAAAATAACTTATTTATCAGTTTTTGAAAAGTTATTTTGTTTAAAAGACTCAACCTTTGCTAAATATCAAAAATTAGAAATAAAATAAAATAAAATATTTTACCTGAAATAAGAAAAATATTTTTTAAATAAAATATTTTACATCCAATCAAATAGAACCTTAATGAAAAAGATTGAAGGGTACAAAAAAAAAAAAAAAAAAAAAATGACAATCATATGGAATAAAGCAACATAAATCTTCAGCTCCTTAAATTTAATATCTTGGATTCCATCACAAAATTGGGTGGTTGCATTGGTCATACAGCTGGGCCAACCTCAAGTCATTATAACAATATTCACCACACTATTTATGCAACAACAAATTAACCACCTAACCCTATTATTTTGGCATCACCAAGGATAAATGATCCTCCAACTGTATACACTGAAGTTGGAAGTTCATAACCACAGTTTTTTGCATGTCATCGCAGGGTCCTTCAATGTTTTTCGTACCTTATTCTTCCAACAAGCAGGGCTTGAATACCTCTAATTAGATTTTATTTGTACATTCCAAACACAAATTAGACTTAAAGTGTTACGAAAGGGAGTTTGTCCCACATCGAATCCGGATGGAAAAATAAATGAATATAAATGTATGAGTATACAGCACTACTCAATAATTTAATCTTTTGAATAAATAGGCAAGCGCCCACCCGTTAACGTTAGTATCAAAACCAGACTCAATGTTTGACCGCCAAGCCTCTTGCCCAAAGGGCATCTGTGTCTTTATCCCGGATAAACAGCATGGCCCGAGTCACAACGAGGGGCATTACAAAATCAGCCAGATGAAAAAATAAAATTACTACTTATAATGCATGAGCATAAGTACTCAATTACTTACCCTTTCGGACTTTTTACATAAAGACACCATGTACAAATATGAGATAGAAGAGTTGTTAGGCCATTCTAATCTATTATTTATACGCGTGACGTAATTGTCAGAGAATGTTAATGAACCAAATGTCGTCAAGTTATAGATTAGTTGTTAATACACTTTTGTCTGTGCCGTCATGGCAACACTGCGTAGACAGATTTTATTATCAAATTAAGAAAGATGATGGGTTATCAAATTTTATAATGTGATGGTGTCACAAGAAATTCTAACTTCAGACCTATGTGAGTGGTTTATATGCATTATTGGATCCATTCCTTAATAACTTAAGATGTCTAAGATTTGATGATTACCAAAATTGTTTCAGAAAATTCCATGACAATAAATGTTGCATTGTCTTCGTACTCTTAACTAAAAAACCAAAATTGTTTCAGAAAAGTCTATGACAATAAATGTTGCCTTGTCTTCATGATCTTAACTGAAAATATTGTGTGACTATATGCCTTGTCTTCACGCTATAATTCAAAATTGTTTATTATTATTATTATTATTATTATTATTTTGGATTTTGGGTTAGGCTCCAGCTTGATTACTCATAGGAATAAAAACTGCGTGCGTGAGTTTCTTCATTCTTGTTGCAGTTAAATATGTATATACATATATCTATATCTACTGAAATTGGTGAAAATTCTCTCTCTATCTTTCTCTCTGCAACACCCCTTTTCCCCTTTTGTTTTTTCTCCCTGCTCCCTTCTATGGGAGTGGGGAGGTGCCGTTTTGCCTCCCACAGGTTCCTTCATCCTGTTTTTTCTCTCCTCGCCGTCGTCGAGGTTCGCTGTGAGCAGCATCTCTCACATTTCATCGTGAGTTTTTGTTCCAGATCTC